CCAAATGTGGTATGAGGCTACAGAAGTCCTGGACTTCCTTCTTCTCTAAAGCAGTTTAAATTGCACTCTATGTCTTTGAATTTGTGAGCAAGGTCATGATGCCATGCCCTGACACTTCATCAAGGGTGGCTCTGTCTGAAATGACCTGCAAATATGCCAACACAGACAGTCCCTGCATGCTGCTGGTCAGTTATCAGCATTTGTCCTATAAACATCCTCTATAATCGGAAACGGTTCTCCTGATTTCAGAGATCTGCAGAAATGGGGTCTCATGAACTAAGATTGCTTCTAGGCCAGGAATTTTCAATCTGCAGGTCTATAAAGTAGGATAGGGGAGGGTAGGAAGAGTCAGATCTTCATTTTCACTAACATTTAACTGAAATTAAACATGTTTAGGGATGATGAAGGTAGAAAACGGGCCACAGCAGTATTAGCCATACCTGTGACTTTGACACTGATAGAAATCACATACATGTTCATGTCCCATCATTTATTGCAGATAACTTTTTAAAAAATCATTTATACTTTTCATTACTTTGACGTTTCAGTAGTTATTAGAGCCACTACTAGATCTTATAATTTGATGTATTAATAAAGCAGCAGCATAGAACCATGTCACACATTTGGCTTTTAAAATATTTTGAAAACTGTACTGATGATATTGAAATAACTATATTTCAATATATTTTCTTCTTTTCAATTCCTATGTATTTTATTTTATGCATTTAAAAAACATTATTCTAGGCCAGGCTCGGTGGCTCATGCCTGTAATCCCAGCACTTTGGGAGGCTGAGGCGGGCGGACCACCTGAGGTCAGGAGTTCGAGACCAGCCTGGCCAACATATAGTAAAACCCCATCTCTACTAAAAATACAAAAATTAACCAGGTGTGATGGCACACGCCTGTAGTCCCAGCTACTTGGGAAGCTGAGGCAGGAGAGCTAGCTGGGAAGCTGAGGCAGGAGAATCACTTGAACCCGGGAGGCAGAGGTTGCAGTGAACCAAGATCGCACCACTGCACTCCAGCCTGTGCAACAGAGCAAGACTCCATCTCTCAAAAATAAATAAATGAATGAATAAATAAATAAATAAATAAATAGATAATTCTAAAGGAGGAAGTTAGGTAAAGAAGCCCTGCTTTAAGTGAAATAAAGAGACAAACTTGGTTTAGACAAGAGGCAACGTGGGAGTGTACACACAAAGGGATCCTACTGACAGTCATCCAAGCTGTCCCTCTGATTCCAGGGCTGAGACAGATGCTCAGCTCTGGGAATTGTCCAACAGACCCTCTACAGGCTGATGACTTCATTCATGAAATCTGATCTCTGAACAAAGACTCATGGGATAGTGAGGAGTGCTGCTTTAATAATTTAGTCATTTCATCAAAGACATTGGTATTAGGTGACCCCAGGAGGAGTGAAGACCTCTCTACCTCTTCCAGAGAGCTGGAAACCAGGAAAGCACACTTCTGTTCACGGTTCTTAATCTTGGCTCCTTTATGATAAAAATTTCTCACAATAAAAAAAAACATGGTAGGCAGAGTGTTACTGATATCCAACACTGACATCCAGTGTAGCTATCTGAACCATAGGGTCTGCTCCACTTCCAGGGATAAAACTCGGCTCGATTTACACTAGAATATTTAGAAGTGTGTTTCAAGGACACGAATCAGGGCAATGTGGCTTACGCATTCATTTTATTTTACTTTAGAGATGCGGTCTCACTCTGTCACCCAGGCTGGAGTGCAGTGGTACGATCATAACTCACTGCAGCCTCGAACTCCTGGGGTCAAGCAATGCTCTTGCCTCAGCCTCCTGAGTAACTAGGACTATAGGCATGTGCCACCACTCCCAGCTTATTCATTCATTTTAAGCAATTCCACCGATTGCCTTTCTTGCATACTTTTGAGGCTAACAGTAGAACCTATCTTTCTAGAGGGTGGAATGAGGTTGTGGGTTGCTGTTTGCCTTGTTCTTGGCAATTACCAACAATTCACACCAGGCCAGATGGGATTCGGCAACTTAAGCAGGTTAGTGGGTTATACCTCTGTGTACTCCTTGTAGCTCCGATTGATCTCTGACAGACTCTCCCGGGCAGCTTTGCTGGCAGGGGATGTTGCAAAGGCTTGCTTCATTTTGCTGGCACCATCCTGGAGGCGTCGCTGGATACAATAAGCTTCATAGAGTTCATCTACCTGCCAGAATCAAAACAGGAAACAGAAATAAATGTCAGGCTTGAAAGAAAATACATAGATCATTGTTACATGATTAACGTGCTTTATATTTCTGACCTCTACAAAGAGAATCCTGTAGAAGTATTATCCTTTTAGATAGGGACCGATCACTTTTATTTTAGCCACTGTGATACATTTTGTCTCAAAACAGATTTTGCTCTAATCCTGTTTTCAAATTATGCAAAAGGGAAACGCCTCTCTTGCATTGTTTGAGGCCATCATTGGAATTGTTTAAAATGACTCCTAGGTGACTTTGTGGGTCCATGGGTGGACTGTAAGTACTAAATAAGAAAGATGAGAGCCTTCTGTAAGTATTAAATTATTAAATAAGTATTAAATAATAAAAATAAATAAGTATTAAATAAGACTGTAAGTATTAAATAAGGAAGATGAGAGCCTTCTGTTTATAGAACAAACACTGAAAGAGTTTATACAATTTCATACCAAGGTGAAAACTTTGTAGTATCCTAGGCTAATATCACTTTAAGAGGTAGTGTCACAATATTAGGATTTGTAATCCTGATAATTACATATCCGGATTTAGTATTTCATAAGGTAACTTGGGGATATATAGTGAAGATAATTTTTGTAAAGTCTTGGCTCAACTGTAAATAGAAAAAGTTATTCTTAAAATTAGGGTAAAACACAATTGTCAAAATATATCAAACTGAACACTTAAGAACTGAACTCTTTTTCATGTAAATTATATGACAATTACAAAAAAAAAATAAATGGAAGCAATATAAATGAACTTTTCTTTTGCTACACATCTACACTTATGCTTCTAAATAATAATAATATACCCTTTTCAAATGACTATTGATTTTATACTCATATAAGCCTGATAATCAGCTAATTCTTCTAAGGAGGTGATTCTCAATCAACCCAAGGCAATTTTGACCCCCAGGGGTCTACTGGCATCTAGTGGGTAGAGGCCAGGCCTGCTGCTAAACATCCTATAATGCAGAGGACAGCTCCTGCAGGAGAGAATTATCTGCAAATGCCAGCAGTGCTAGGGTTGAAAAAAATGTTTGTTTGTTTTTTTTAGATGAGGTCTTGCTATGTTGCTCAGGCTGGTTTCTAACTGCTGGGCTCAAGTGATCCTCTTGTCTCAACCTCTCAAGTAGCTGAGACTACAGGCGCACATCACTGTGCTTAGCTGGAAAAAAAAAAAAAAAAACCTGTTCTAAAGTTATTCCTAATGATATTTATCTCTACAAGTCTGGCACTATCTTTAATTGACTGCAGTTAACTACAATAATTTTCAGGCGGATAACAAACAACAATACCATCAGGCATTGTCAAATGCAAATAAAACCTATTGCTTTGGGGAGGCATACTTACCTAGCACTGTTTGAATTTTCAGTTCAGTAGGAACTTTGTTTCTTCAAAAAGGAAGCTTAACTATAGATCCAGAAGGTGGAGATGCATATACTAGATTTCAGAGTTTAAGAGTCCCCTTTTGTTCTGAAGGCAAACTTTCGGCTGCTTACTAAAAAGCATTACTATAACCTGTCTGAGGAGTACAATTTTCCATAATTGCTTTCTCTACACAGATATCAATGACACTTAGCTTAGAATGCAAACATTAAGAGACTAAAAATTATTCTCTTGATTAAAGGATTCTTTGTTGCTATTTACTTCAACAATGCACTCAACTCCACTGAGAAGAATGACGAAACTGAAAAGAATCATCTTTAATCTTCAGGGTCAATGGATTTATCTCTGATTAAGAGGGAGATATAAGACTCAAGGAGTGTCCTATCTGCTGATGACATCTTTTGGTTGATGGTTGGCATAGAGTGTGGTTTCCATGCTTTAAAGCTAAGCCTCATCTGGTGAGCTTGTTAAAATGCTGGTGCCCAGGCCCCACTCTGAGGTGCTGATTCCGTAGGTTAGGGCTGGGCCAGGAATCTGAAATTTTAAGTAAACATTGCAAATTGTTCCGATGTGGGAGATCCCCACAAAACTTTTAGAAACCCAAGTGCTAATATCTCTTCCAATGCAGGTCGGGCTATGTCACCCATGTGGTCTTTTGGGGGAACTGCCCCTGCAACCCTTTTCCCTACTAGTGGGTATGCCAAAGTTTCTGAGCTTGTTATCCTTTCAATAAGGAGACAGTGCTCACAGGACCATCGGTATAGCCATAATGACTTAATCTATTACTCTGTGTAGCAAGAAAGTTTATTCTTTGTTTTTGCTTAAATATCAACCTATCCTAGCCAAATAGAATTAAACTTTTGGATGAAGTATACCTATGTAGTCACCTTAGCAGAAAGCCATTTGTAGGCAAGCATTTATCTTACCTATGAGTCAGCAATGGCTCATTAAATAAACTGATTAATTGAATCATTCAATTACATACCATTTGTTAGGCATCTGGATATAAGATGTTGCAAACAGAAAGAGTACCATTGACCTTTGAAAACCATTAGGATTGTTCTATCTAACGAGCATGGATACAATATTGATAAATATACCCTTACTTCATACTGATAGTTTTCTTGCTGTTTTTTGAATTAAACAATAATAGGTCAAAGCTTGCCTGCCACATAAATACCTTCTGATGGATGTCATTGTTTTATTTATTGAGTTTAGCAGAAATAGGAGCAATTTCAGATTTGCCTAGGTAGTAAATATCTTTCAAAGCAAGAATGTACAAAGGCAGTAGCATATACATGTGTATTCACACATACAAATCGCCCTAGAATTTTAAATGGGAAAGGATTCTTAGGATCATGTAGATCAAATCTGTGCACCTCCCCAGCGCCACTTCACAGAGCGGAAAGCCAAGATTCACACAGATGACATAGCAAGTGAGTATGTGGCAGAGCTGGGACTAGAACCTAGGGCTTCTGACTCTTAGAGAGATCTGCTAAAATTCCCAGGCTTCCCACTTGGAAGAGAGGCTGATGGATATAGACAAACAGGAATTGATAATTGTGTGATTTAGCTGCCTCTAAAGGTAGATGTTTTCTAGCTGGCACCAGTAACTCCTGACAGTGCCCAGAACAAGGGGGTGATAGCCTCATTGTACCACCAGTGAACTATAGGGTTCAGGGCTGAGTGTGTGGGACACTGGCAAGCTAGTGCACATCCAGGGCAGAGGGGATAACACGGCACCTGAAAACCATGCTATATGAGGAAGAGTGGAAAGAACCAAGGGCTTGAGAGAGATTGAGGGAGGCGCTGAGACAGTGATCTTTTGGTAGTTACAAGGCCTTCACGAAGAAGTTTATGGGGTACCAAGTGTTATGTGGAACCAGAGTGTAAAGTCAGGCAAACATGAAGTTTTTTGTAGGGCTAGTTTGATTGATAGTTTAAACACACTACACTGAGGCTGGAAGTCCTCCACCGGGCACTGTGCCTGTTACTTAGCACTTAATAAATGTTTGTGGAACTGAGGTAGAGCCAAAACTGTGCCGGGTCATCAGGCCTTCCATTCTTATTGTTCCTCCATCTTTAGTGCCCATTTGAGGACTTAATTGCTAGTCAGCTTGAGAGTCAATTGGCTAGGAAGTTCTCCATGCACTAGATACTACGATCAGGCCAAAGGTGTACTTGATTAGCAATAGAACTGAAAAACAGGCAACGAGAACAGGAACTTCAATTACCTTACTAATGTGAAACTCCAGGCGTCTCATGTATCTTTCAATTGTTTTAATTTGCTGGAATTAAAAGAAGTTTGAAAAAGTACAGTCATTTATAGTTCATTTGACTCAGGCTTGTGAGAATATCTTTATTATATCATACTCAAAAGTACTAGAAAATCCAATATATTTCTCCTTTCCTTCCCCTTTCCTCCTACCTTTGATGCTATTTTAGAGATTCACTAATACCAATTTGGATTTTTTTTTTTTTTTTGAGACAAAGTTTCGTTCTTGTTGCCCAGGCTAGAGCATAATGGCGTGATCTCGGCTCACCACAACCTCTGCCTCCTGGGTTCACGCGATTCTCCTGCCTCAGCCTCTTGAGTAGCTGGCATTACAGGCACCCGCCACCACACCTGCCTAATTTTTGTATATTTAGTAGAGACGGGGTTTCTCTATGTTGACCAGGCAGGTCTTGAACTTCTGACCTCAGGTGATCCACCCACCTTAGCCTCCCAAAGTGCTGAGATTACAGACATGAGCCACTGTGCCTGGCCCTGGAAATTTATTTTTGTAATATTGAATAAATATTCTGAGATGTGAACTTGAATTAGTTATCGGAATCCTTGTGTTTAACAAGGAGAAAGGCCAATCCGATGGAAGTCATTAGGTTCTGACAGAATAGTATCATATGGGAGTATATTTAAATTTCTTCATAATAATATATTTTATCTTCTAAGATTGGTTTTTTTTCCCATTCACATTTTAGTGTTTCTGAAATTGGGGTGCATTTTACAATTGTTACTGGCAGACGGCTGTCTGTACAAGCTCAAAGATAATCATAGTTGTTCATGTGTCATCTCTTTGAGTTGTAATTATTATTATATGCATTTAATTTAATCGCCTTTTAAAATGTCTTCAAAAAGAATACACTATGATTCAGCATTGAAATAAAATTATTGTGCACATAGGAAGGCATGGAGCAGCATCATATATAAATTTTTTAAAAAAGAAAGAAAAAAATCTGTGTCTAAATAGACCTAACAGTTTTCTTGATAACTATAAAATACAAATTTTAGGTGAAATGAAATAACTGTCAGATTTTAACTGGAATCCTTTTTTTCTCTTCATGGCACATGAAATAATGGTTCATTTTCTAATCAACGATGACTTAGATTTGATGAAGTATAGTAATTTATATTCAGAGACAACACAGGTAAAGGCCTCCAAACGCTTGGGAAGTTCTTAAACTTATCAAAACACAAACTTATCAAAACACTACAACCCAGTGGCATTTTTATGGACGTGACCTTAAACACTTTATTTAATCTATAGATCACAGTACTTGTATTATCCTCATTAGACAAGAGTATGCATTTTTCCAGGATTCGAAAAACTATCAGTTCTCTAGGATTTTACTGTCCCTAAGAAGGTCTCCCATTGACTTTTCAAGGATGCAGAGTTCTATTTTATTTTTTGAGACAGGGTTTTGCTCTCTCACCCAGGCTGGAGTGCAGTGGGTGCAATCATGGCTCACTGCAGCCTTGACCTCCTGGCTTCAGGTGATCCTCCCACCTCAGCCTCCTGGGTAGCTGGGACCACAGGCACACACCACCATGCCTGGATAATGTTTTATATTTCATTTTTTGGTAGAGATGGGATTTTGCCACATTGCCCAGGCAGGTCTCGAACTCCTAGGCTCAAGCAATCCACCCACCTCGGCCTCCCAAAGTGCTGGGATTACAGGTGTGAGCCACCGCGCCCAGCAAGGATGCAGAATTTTTTTCTTATTAGCACCCCAACACAGAATGGCAACTTACCTTGTCTAGTTCATACAGCACACCCTACAATAAAAAAAGGAATATCTGCATTTAAACATCATCCTCCAAAAGGTTACCCATCTTAACAGAATGATTTAGCACACATTTCCACATTATCTGTGGAAATAATAATCAGCTCTACAAAATTCTACTGGATATTTTACACTTGCTTTAAAAGAATAAAAACTTGGGTTATTTTAAATACCAGTAAGAGTACATTTAAGAGCTGACATTTTTTTACACTCTGTTTCTAGCATTGCATGCAGTCCTCCCTGCCCCTTGCGATCTTTAAAGTTTTCACTTGCTTTGAGCTCTCCTGTCCTACCTATTGAGGGGCATAGAAATTCACAGTCATTAAAAAAAATTTAAAATAAATGGTATGAATATAAAACATAGCAGTGGCGTATGTGTTAAAAAATACTTGCCTCGCTCTCTAAGCAAATAAAATTGATATTTAAGAAGAGTTCTCTTTTTTTTTTTTTTGAGACAGAGTTCTGCTCTTGTTGCCCAGGCTGGAGTGCAGTGGCGTGATCTCGGCTCACCACAACCTCCGTCTCTCTGGTTCAAGTGATTCTCCCACCTTAGCCTCTCGAGTAGCTGGGATTACAGTGCCTGCCACCATGCCCAGCTAATTTTTGTATTTTTAGTAGAGACAGGGTCTCGCCATGTTGGCCAGGCTGGTCTTGAATTCCTGACCTCGGGTGATCCACCTGCCTCGGCCTCCCAAAGTGCTGGGGATTACAGGCATGAGTCACCACGCCCGGCCTTAAGAAGAGTCCCTGAGGCTGTGATAAGCTTTTCTCAAATTGTTTTTAAAGCCAGCTCATTTCCTGTGTGCTCACAATATCATAGTATAATCAGTGCACTATCCTTGTATCCTCCAATTGAAGGATTTTTAAGGAACAGGAGGTCTTGGCAGAAGCCCCTGCGTTTGTTCACTGTTGTTTTCCAGGAGGGACATTTGCAGCCACTGAGGATAGTCAAGGGCATTCACCAGCTCTGAAAGCCCTGACACAAGGGGTTCCACACAGATGCAGGCAATTTATATCCTAACATCAGTAGAACATAAAAACTGTTAACACTGATAAAGCCTTGAATCTCTAAGCCTTTGAAAAGGACAACAGTATACATTTGAGCACATTTCCTACAAAAGAAAAAGATAGCAGCTATGAGTGTCTAGTTACACCCCCTAGGAATACGTTGAGTTTTCTTGGGCTGATTTCTTGAAACAGTAAGGTATAATATCTAGAGCTGAACAAAACCATTTAAAATAGTGTAGACATTAGAACCACCTCTTCAATCACACAAGTCCTCACAGATTCATTAGAATAGAAGAAATTTGCAACATAACATGTACTTGATCTGGTCTAAGAACTCTAACTTCTCATAGTGGTTACACCTTTCAGCCTCTTTTCCCTCCCTGATTTTACTGATTATATTTTTAAAAATTGGAGACAAAGTAAAAGTTCTAGATTCCAAATTCTTTATATTAATTTTTTGTATTTTTTAAAAACAGAGACAGGGTCTCACTTTATTGCCCAGGCTGGGCTCGAACTCCTGGCCTCAAGCGTTCCTCCCACCTTGGCTTCCCAAAGTGTTGGGATAACAGGCATGAGCTACTGTGCCTGGACCCAAATTCTGTATGTACTAACAATATGCTAGGAAAACTTCAACTTCTCATTTCGTTATATTATTTGGGAGGGTGGTAGAGAACATTAAAATTTTTTTTCCTGATTATAAAGTTTCATGAAGATAGACATTTAAAAAATGATCTCATAAACATGCTTGGAAAATACTGAAAAGTATTAAGTAGAACACATTAAGAAGAAAACATACCCTTCTTTTTCCTTCTAAGACATACTGGGGGATGCAGATAGTACTCTGCCCCTTGGATCTCCTCTTCTTAAACATTCCTCCCCAGCCCCATCGAGTAAAATAAGTTATTTGGCTAAAAAGAACAGTGTTAACATCCTAATGACTGGATAGTACCTACCAGGCGAGAGTTTCTTTTCATATCTTTTAACTGAGCTGTCAACTTGTCCAGCTCCGTCTGGTGAACCTCCAGATATTCACTGCAAAGATAAGACAAGATGTAATCGTAATCTCTGCGCCTGTTAAGTGGAATCTGGTGCTGTTGCTGACTTTTCCTTCTCAAAGGGGATTAAGAATTGAACCTTGCTCTGTAGTTGGGGAGGAGGCTTTGTATTTTCCCAATCTTTCAACATTTGGAAAGCTCTAGCAGTGGCACTGGATACTATCCAGCTGGGAAAGTAGAAAAGGAGAAAAAGGCTGAAAGTCGAGAAAAGAAAAACCAATGTGGGAGGCAAGGGGCAAGATGTCTGCAGAGTCAGCCCTGGCTCTGGCCTCACAGAATTCTATCTAGTCAAATAGAACAAATAGTGAATGTTCCACTGCACAGTAGGGAAGTCTTATTCTGGGTTCACAATCCCTGTAAGATATCAGGGAGGTTTCAGAACCCTCCTTCAGCAATCTCTAGAATGGATATGTCTGTCCATCATTGTTTAAGTGAAACTCAATACTGCACAGGGTTCCAGGTCTCCATCAATGTTATGAATATGATGTGGAATACCAACATATTTCCCATCTTTGGGACTTACGTCAGGCTTCCCTAATTGTCAGGTGCAAGAATAAAATACGTCCTACCAAAATATACATCTAAAAAATGATCTCATAAGACCAGCTTTTCTCTGACCCCTTGGGTCTTTCCTTAAAGTACATTATCAGGTTCAAGTTCTTACTCAAGTCCATTTTTCAAGGCCCTGTAGACTTCTTCCACCCTTTTAGGCTGAGGCTCTTTGGGGGGATTGTTGTTTTTGTGGCCTAAATTGTGCATTTTCTTCAGTTTGGCCTGAGGCTTCTTGAGAGCGGAGGAATTTTCAATGAAGGAGTTACACCTATGGAAAGAAAAAAAGAACAGAAGAAATTGTGAGGATTGGGCTTCCAAAAGGATTTGACCAAAGAAAAATGTCTTCTATTATTTACTTATTTGTTTTAGAGACAGTCTTCCTCTGTCATCCAGGCTGGAGTGTGGTAGTGTGATCATAGCTCACTGCAGCCTTGAACTCCCGGGCTCATGAGCTCAAGCGATCCTCAGCCTCCCAAGTAGCATGTACCACCACACCCAGCTGAATAGTTTGTTGTTGTTTTTAAAGAGAGGGGGTCTCACTTTGGTGTCCAAGGTAAAGTGCAGTGGTGTGATCATAGCTCACTGCAGCCTTGAACTCCTGGGCTTGAGTGATCCTCCTGCCTCAGCCTCCCGAGGAACTGGGACCACAGGCATGCACCAGCATGCCTGGCTAATTATTATTATTATTTTTTGGTAGAGATAGAATCTGGCTTCAGGCAATCCTCCTGCTGTGGCCTCTGTTTTTAAAAACTTTTTTTTTTGTAGAGATGGGGTCTTGCTATGTTGCCCAGACTGGTCTTGATCTCTTGGCTTCCAGCAATCTCCAGCATTAGACCCTCAAAGTGCTGGGATTACAGGCATGAGCCACTGCGCCTGACCAAGAAATGTCTTTGTAATCATCTTGTGTTCACATTAGTGTCCTTTGCAGAAGGTAATGTTCTCAGATCTGAGCCATCCTGCATTTAGTTTCTTAGTATTAGATTTGTTAACTGCTGAAACCAGAAAGCTTTGTTGGGCAGAGGCTACCTAGAGTCAAAGTCTGGCTTCAGGGAATGTGTATTCTGAGTGAAAATGTATTGCTTTTCTAAAACATCATAGGAAGTTAAGGGCAAAGAGCTCCAGGTGGACATAATGAACAGGCAGAAGGATATAATCTAACTAAAAAAATACATGTACTATGCAATTTTAGGTACAAGTGTCTATGAAATTCAACGAGGATGTGAATAAATCCTTTTCGATAAGGGACCATAAGCATGACAAATAGCTAATTCTATATGACATTAAAATACATGTAGCTTTTTTTTAAGCTTTATTTTTAGGAAGTAAATTACTGACTAGGTATAACTTATAAAATTTCAACATCTCTAGTAGTGTCAGGGATACAGCTTGCAGCGGTAAGATGGATATCTGATAACCTAAAACCAGAGTACCGATCTGATTAGGAGATGCAGAGGCTAGGCCACTCACTGACCCGGTTATCAGCAGGAAAGCCGAGATCGCCCAGGCCGGAAGCTGCCTACTGCACCCCTCCCAGGTTAGTTATTCGTTATAATCCCTGCCATCACCGTGTGCACAACTGGGACAATACAGGTCAAACAAAGCACATAGGGACCCTCAGAGGGCAAAGACCTTTATGACAACAGAAAAACTGAAGATAAACTTGGTTACATGTTGCTTATTCACTATCTGTTCTTTCTTTCTTGAGTTCCCCTAAGTCCTGGTTCAGATGAGAGGAGATTCACAAAACTAGAAAGACTCACTTTGGCAACCCTGTGTGAATGACACCTGCTCCCCAGAGTCAATCTGCAGAGGCATAGTCATTATCCACTGCACGACTTCATAGCACACATAGTCTCCAAAGTCTGAGTGCAATGGAAAATGCGCTTCAAAAAGGGGTGGAAGTAGGGGTAGTGAGAGGTCTATGCATATATCACTGGTTTGTCCTAAATCCTTAGCCATCATCCTTGCAGGAGGAATTCTAAATGATAGAAAATAAACTATAGCACTTAATTTTTGGTACATCCTTTCCATAAAAAAGATTAAAATAGTGGGTGTGGGCGCAGGGGGAGGCTGATGAGGCCGAATGCACACAGACCCTCTTCACAACATCAAAGTTCACTTCCTTGGCAAGCTGCACCCCGGGAGAGAACCACACAGTACTTGCCTGGATCGCCTTTCCTGGAGGCCGCTGAAACCCGCAAAGGACTGGCTTCTAATGATCCCATTGGGCCCTCCAGGCGAAAAAGACTGGGATCCTACCAACATGATTTCCGGGAGTCTGGTCGGTAGTCCTAGAAGACAGTGGAAAGATCATGACAATTTACAGGCAGGTTCAGACAGAAGATGCACTAAGTTTGTCAATAATGATAAAGGCTGTAAAGTAAGCCATGAGACTGTTAAGTGCTTGTGAGGTTCTTTATTATGGAGTGTCCTGAAGACAAAGGGCTCAACTCTCAAAAGAATAAAAAAGATACCTATCTACCTAGATGAAAATAAATATAGCTGGGGCGCAGCAGCTCACGCCTGTAATCCCAGCACTTTGGGAGGCCAAGGCGGGTGGATCACCTGAGGTCAGGAGTTCAAGACCAGTCTGACCAACCTGGTGAAACCCCGTCTCTACTAAAAATACAAAATTAGCCGGGCGTGGTGGCACATGCCTGTAATCCTAACTACTCGGGAGGCTGAGGCAGGAGAATGGCTTGAACCCGGAAGGCGAAGGTTGCGGTGAGCCGAGATCGCCCTACTACACTCCAGCCTGGGCAAAAAGAGCAAAACTCTGTCTAAAAAAAAAAAGTAAATATAAATTATACAAAACTACAAAACTGCCCATCACTCTAGGTTTCCTTCAAGATTTTTTTTTTAAACAAGGTTCAACCACACCCTCAAAAACATGAAAACTGTTGCAACATTAACCTCCATTCGACAATAAAAACACACAAATAGGCCAAGTCAAAGTTTCAGATAAATCATGCATCAAACTGAAAACACAGTCAAGTCTTAAGGCGGAATTCTACACCTAGGGGTCACAAGGCTAAAACACTAGGTTTCTTTAGAGATGAACTTACTAAACTAGCTCTCCCTTTCTATCTTTAAGAATATTCTGAAAGGTAAGATTGTGCCACTACTATGACAGTGCAAAGTAAGAAGGGTAAAGGGAGTGCTCACAAAAGAAGTGATAATCTAGGTTAGATAAGAACACAAGGGCCAGGGGAAGGTAAGAGGAAAATACAGCAGAAAGCGCACAACCTGTATTTCAGTCGTTTGCTTGGCTTTTGTGAGGACTTACCACAACAGACCAAGAAGCATTGTCAAAACACAACTTCAGCTGAACAGAAGCCCGGGGCTAGTTCCCCCAAAGGATGCCCCTGGAACTGTTAGGTAATTCTATTCCTTTTAGATCAGGAGTCAAAGCACATACCATTGTCTTAGCAGGTGACTTCAATCCAGAGAGGGGGACAGGCCAGCTGGAAAAAGGGGAAATAGTTACGGCCCAGATTGAAGACTCCAAAGTGGGCAGACACCAAATCGGTATGTTTGCAGAGTGTCGACAACTGCCCTTTAAAGACTCAATGAAAAAGAAAGAAAAGCTAAAAAACAACAGCGGCAGAACTCTCAGGTAGTACATCCAGATGTAATGGAAAGACCAATTTCACTAGACCTTCCTCAAAGCTGCGCGAAGCAGCTCAGGAAGGAAGGCAGTTTGAGCGAGTTACTTCCCCAGAGACAGAAGGACAAACAGACCCCTCCCCCATGCTACTGCAGGTTTTTAAATCCCCTCCCTCCCTCTCCAGGAGAGAGCAGCCCTGGAGTTTGTATGCATTCTTGCGAGGTACAGGTGCTGACTCACTTGGCTACAGGTCTGGCAATTGGTTGCTCTTTCATCCGGGTGAGATGCAAATCCCACACTAGCTGGGGAGGAGCAGCTTACATTTTAGGGCATTCTCCAGAATTTTAGAAATAATGAAGAAGTATGAGCAGTAAAAGTAATAAGTAGGGCACAAATGGTTAGACAAAATGCAGGTGCAGATAAGGTTCTCTCTGGTTACTTCTCCCCAGCCTCAAGGCTCAAAAAACTCCTAATTCTGTTATAAATAATTTTTTGATACCACAAGGAAATAGCATTTGAACATAAATTTAATTTTCTCAGCAAGGCAATTTTTACTTCTATAGAAGGGTGCAACTTGCGAATGGAGTAATGGTGAGAGCACACCTGGACAGGGGAGGGGCAGGAGTTCTTATTCCTGATGCAGGGCCCTACTGCTGTGTCATTCCCCTATTGGCTAGGGTTGGACTGCACAGTCTAAGCCAATTCTGATTGACTGTTTTAAAGAGAGTAAGGGTATGAGCCAGAGTGGTGGGGTGGGTAGTTTGGCAGGAGGGATGGTTAGAAACAGGTAACTAAAGGTGACTTAGGTCAGAGCAGGTGACCAGGTGTGACTCAAGTCAAACAGGTGACCAGGATGAGTCAGGACGGAGCAGGTGACCAGGGGAACAAATGTGAACTACTGATTAGGACTGGTGGTAAAGCTATTTACTGAAACTAGGAGCAAGGAGAGAAAGACAACCAGAAAGTTAAACTTTAAAATGGAGAATCAAAGAATAAGAGAGCTGAACACACTGACATACTGATTCTTCAAAGAGAAACTTGGGGTTCACTATATTTAACAATTCCTTTAAATCCTTAATGAGGTTCTCCTCCGTGCGCTCTGCTGGTTACTAAGAAATCTGTCTACATTTCTTTGAGGGGACCTTTCTTAGGTTCATAAAGCATGCCTGTGGTATCACTGTATACCATGCAAACTTCTAATAAACTATAGTGCTTTCTTGATATTTCTGTTCTTTCTGTACTCAATTTGACAACCAAGCACCCACCTTAATGTCTCAATTTGGCAAATTTTAGTATTCTATCTTATTTTGTAAATTATTGTTCAATATATCTATTGTATCACAGACACTCTTTGATCAAAGGAAAAAACTTAGAGTATTTGAAATATTTAACTGTATAGTTATCTCATACCTCCTAGAAATTATATTTTTCAAGCCAATTTTCCCCCCCTTATCCATTGGATCACTGTAGTTTAAATTACTGATGGCTGGCTCCTATCCCCAGGCACTGTTTAATTAATATGGGGTATCACCTGGGTATGGGGAGGTGTGTAAAGTCCCCAGGTGATTCTGATGTTCATCAGTGATTGGGAGGCACTGACTTCAGAGTTTTGATTGAACAATCAGTTGCACTAGTGATAGGCAGAAAAAAGAGGAAAGAAAAGAAAAATACCAAGTTCATTGCAAATTTAAGACTTCTGTTAAAATAATCTGCTACAATTAATCAATTCCAACTCTTTCACTAAATGAATTAAACACTGGAGAGTAAAACATATGTACCAGATTGTAAAATAATTTTCCTTCTTCCTCATTTTTTTGTAACAGGTGAACAAGGTTCTCAAAATCAGAACAAATGTCTGTCCAGGATCCTAAGATTGTCAAATGCTTTGGGAGGGGGAATAATGCTCAGAAACTTTTCATTAAATTTATGGTTGGGCACAGTGGCCCAGCACTTTGGGAGGCCGAGGTGGGTGGATCATCTGAGGTCAGGAGTTCGAGACCAGCCTGACCAACATGGCAGCTATTGAGATTACAGAGGCTGAGGCAGCAGAATCGCTTGAACCTGGGAGGTGGCGGCTGCCGTGAGACAAGACCACGCCACTGCACTTCAGCCTGGTGACAGTGTGAGACTCTATCTCAAAATAAATAAATAAATAATCAAGAAACTTTTCACTAAATTTACATATGGAACTGACGGCCACTAGGAATGTGACTGGGGTGAGCAGTTTTGTTTTGTTTTGCCTTTGTTGTCTTAGAAATGATCATTATCTATCAGGAAAGAATTTGGCCCAGAGCTGGTTTAGGCTGAGATCTCTCTGTCTTGACATCACTTCCCCTAAAAGGTGACACATGGCCTAAGGAGAGTCATAAAACAAGCATGCACACACACAAAGTCTGGCTCTGGACGAAATAAAAGGAGGAGGTTGGGGTAGGGTAGTGTAGAAGGTATTAGGGACAAAAGTATACAAAACACTCCCTTCCCCAGACCTCCCAAGTCTGATGGAAGGGTGGTAGTTCTTTGCTACTATTCTTCCAGCTTCCCCAGCTCTTCTCCAGTTGCAACTGATCTTGCACCTCTTCGTTATCAACTGTCATTCTATTGACCAGTCCACTCCTACCTCTTAGCGCCTTATATCTTTAGGTTGTTCCCTGGCTTCCTAGAAGTCCCAAAGACCTGGTCTGTCCCCAGTTTTCAGCAAAACTGCCTCCAAAATTTTCAGGTTTGAAGGATTTCATTGCTCCTGCCAGAGTAATCTGCATTTTAATAGCCGGTGCTCCACTGAACCAAAAGCCTTAACCTAAAGAAAGGACTACAGTAGAACTGCAGTATTACTGCTGGTAGGGATGTAAAGTGGAATTAAATTTTTGAAGAACAATTTGGCAGTATCTGTTTAAGCTGCAAAACATACTAATCCTTTAACGGGGCACTTCTTTGATAGCTCTTCCAGGGAAATACCCAAATGCATGAAGAGGCATATACAGGGATATTCATCACAGGCAATGTTAATAGTAATGGAAAAATAGGAAATGATATAAAGGTTAGTCATTACAGGAATGGTTGACACTCAAAATTATGGGAGAGAACATTATGTAGCAGTTAAAAACAACATGGCCACATAGAAAGATCCTCAGGATAAATTGCAGAATGAAACAGAGTGTGATAGCAGGAATGCTAAAAACAAAACTATATAAAACTACGAACACAAATAGAAAAGTTCTGAAAGTATACAGAGTCTATGGAGAGGTGGGATTGAGTGGTAGTCAGAAACATTTTAATTTTTTCTGTATTATATTTTTATACAGAAAATGTATTTGTGTATTATTCGTATAATGTAAAATTCTGTTTTGAAATTGCAGACATTTGGAGTTGCCTAGAAATGGAAGTGAAGGGGAGACAGAGCTCATAAACAAGATCATATAACTGTTGAGTAATAACTGTATTTATGTAATTGTTTGTATTTATCAGCCTTGCAGAGGAGATATACGATTGCCAAGAAATATTGTATAGGCTTTATAAATTCTGATTACATCAGAACTATTTAGATTTCCTGATGAAGTCCTTATTATGAGTTCTGAGCTATGTAACAAGTTCGATATTTTTGTCTGCAAAACATTTAGAGCTGGGCTTGTACCCCTGGTAACATGCACTATACCTGATATATACCTGATATATACTCTGTGTTCA